ATAAACCTTGTCTTTGGCTGAAAGAAGGTGTGGGTTGAATTCTTTTGGGCAGGACCTGCATGTTGTGATTTTGGGGTCCCAGGACCCCTGGACCTACAAACCACATAAATAAATATCAGGTGAAGTATCAAACAGGCGATGACCATTGAGGATATTTGCTAGTTTGTAGGGAAAAGAAGTGGGCGGGGGGGAGGACCTCTAGTGATAGAAGGAAGAGAAGACGGAAGAGGAGGAGTCATTAAAGCTTTTTTTAATGCATAGAAGAGAAGGACAGAAATTAACAGACACAATTATAAGAGTTTTGAAAGCTACATATATTACGTACTAAAAAAGGGAAAGCAAGTTATACATAATAGAGATTCACAGTTTCATGCACAAATTTCCTTTTATTTGGAAATGCTAATTTTATTTATTGTTTATTAAGTTCCAAATAAAAATAACTTTTTTATGAAAGAAAATGATACGTTACATTAGCAAGCAAGTAGAAGCTATGCAAAGAGTAAAGACAAAAGTTTGCTATTTCTAATCAAATATATTCTATAAAATATGAATTTACATATCAATCCTTTTACTTCCCAAACAATAACCAGAAGGCTTTTAAGATCCTTCCAGGGTCAGGGTGGTCTAGTCCAAAATATTTGGAACTTCAAGGTAACCGTATTCCTCTGTGCAGCTGCCCAGTTGATAATCTGATTCCCCTTAGCCACGGCTACCTGCTGACACCAAACATGGGTTCAGGATATTGAAGTTGGGAGCCCCACTCAATGACTGACCTCTACATGAGGCTTTGTTGAAATTGACCCGGCCCCCTTCAGAGAGAAAGGAGCCACTCAGTTTAGAGAGCGACCGCCCAGACCTCTCAGCAGCAATAGTCATGTCCCATCCACTGACAAAAACTTCAAGATTCTACCTCGGCATAGAGATTAGGAGGATAAAAACCTGGATGAGAAAAGCCCCAAATCTGGCAGCAATGTACAAGTTACTGGGCATACAAATGTCCAGTATGAAAGAATGAAACAATCCTGAATGATTCTAGAAATATTTCACTTTGCTCCAGCCCCATTTTACTTTAGTTCACCAAATGACCTAATTCTGTTTTCCCTCAAAGAGATTTTTCTTCCTAATTCTTAGCCTTTGTTTTTTTTTTTTAATGTCAATTATAATGTGTGTGAGTCATAATCTACAATAGAGGTTGCAGGTGAGTCAGCCACCTACCAGGAGAAAGCACTTATAATACAAGGTAATGGGCGGTGGAGGGAGTGGACACTCCAGGAACAAAGTGACAGCCTGTGCAAAGTCATGGAGCCAGGAGATAGAATATCCTGCATAGGGAACAACTAGTAGGCCATTATGGTTGAAATGCAGATTTCTTGAAAGTGAATAGTAATGAAGAGGTCTAGAGGTTTTGGGGTGCTTGAATGGACCCCAAGATCGCGGTGCCAGACCCTGCCTGAAAGAATTCAACTCAAATCTTCTTCCAGCCGGAGAAAAAGTTTATTAGAGATAAAACACACAGGCCAGACTCCCAAGGAACCTGAAAATTAGTAACACCCGTAGGGATGAGGGGGCATGAGACAGTCTCAGCCTTTTGGGCATGAGAAAAGCTCAGCTTCTGAATAGGGGCCAGGGTAGATCTTTTATACACTAAAGTAACTTTGGGTGGCCAGAGGAGGGGGCTGGGAAAAGAGTCTAGATGAGAATTCCAATTGGAAGGTCTGAGAGATGGAATAGACAATGGGAATAGATAATGAGAGGAACTGGAAGGAAGAAGTTTGAAAGGATCAGAAGGTAGGGTTAGAGAAATAAGGGGAGTAGATAAGGAATCTAAAAGTTTAAGGCTTTTCTGGGGTCTGTAAACAAATGGGAGCCAAATTCCTTTTGGAGAAAAGGAGCAAAGGTTTTGGCTTCTGAAATTTAATGATTTAGGCCCCTTATCAGGAAATGTAATGTCAGAAAAAAAATAAGTTTGATCTGAAATGCCAAAGAGAAGTTTGTATCTTATTATGGAGGCACCTTAGCTTCTTAAAAATGGTTAAGACAGACACTTACTAGCTGTGTGACCCTGGGCAAGTCATTTAACCCCAAATGCCTCACCAAAAAGCAAAAAAACAAAACAAAACAAAACAAAAAAACCCCACAAAAAATCAATTAAGACAGAGTCAGACCTGTTCTTTAGGAATATTACTTGAGGGAAAAGGCTGAAGACAGGGAGATCAATTAGGGAAGCTACTGCAATAAACCACATGTGAGATGATGAGGGCCTAAACTGGTGGTGGCCATGTGAATGAAGAGAAGGGGTCTGGTACAAGAGCCATGGAAATAGAAATAGAAAATATTGTCGTGGTGCTGCGGTTTAGGGGTTCAGGGGTGCTGTGACCCCAAAATCACAACACACAGGTCCTGCCTGAAAGAATTCGACCCAAGCCTTCTTTCAGCCAAAGACAAGGTTTATTAGAACATCCGTCATATTGGGCAGACTCTTAGGGAGTCTGACCGTGGGTAAGCAGTGGCTAGATTTTAGGAATCTGAGCAGTGGCTAGATTATAAGAATCTAAGCATCTTAATGGAGACAAGATGGACCTTATAAAAAGCCTCTGGGAGGGATCTAGGAGTAGCCAAGTAGTCTATAATAGAATTCCTGGGACCAAGACCTCTGGCCAAGGGAGAAGGGAGCCTTGCTAGGATTAAGGGTGGGAAATGGTCAGGGGCCATAGGGAGGTAAGACAATGGAGGGGAGATTGGGTGTAGCCGCAATGAAAGGCCAGTTGGTGGGATTATATAACACCATTCGTGGGCCAAGTGGGGAAAGTCCAGGGTTTTTCCTTTCTGGGGCTAGATCCCAACACTATCAGTGGTAGAAGTGACAAGCCTTGAAAATTGTTTGAAAATGAAGGATGAGGGACACTGAAAAAAGAATGACTCAAAGTTGCAAATCTGGTAACTGGAAAGATGATAGTGCCCTTGATAGAAGTAAATAAGTCTCGAGAGGGGACCCACTTCCATTCCTAATTTCCTGAGTTCTGTTCAGAATGCAATCCCCTTTCCAGTCACCTAGTTTGCCTACCTTAGAATTCTTAACTTTTTTCTAGGCTCAGTTCTAGGAACAATTTGCTGCTTTTTGTCCTTAGTTCTTGAAGAGAACTATGACATGAGGAAGATGATGCAATGACATGCAAGTGAATTGGATTTCAGTGAGATAGGGCTGGGCAAAGTCACCAGCCTCACTTTCTCCTCTGGAGTCACCTGGGTCCTGTGGCCAGATATGGATCAGGACTACTGGAGATGGCCTAGAATGCAGTGGGGAAGCTTGGCCTTTTCAAGCTAAGATCTTTAACAGGTCTCAGTTTGACTGAGGCAACTCCTATTCAGGGATTAAGGCTTAATAAAAAATGAGGCAAAGAATGGCCTCTTTGAAAAAAAAATAGATGTGGGAGGGGAAGACCTTCCTGGGTTTCTGGCCAAAACAAGAACAATATATACATTCATTCTGAGCCAATCAGAGCTCAAACAATTTACCATCCACAAGAAGCCTTTCTGGATCCCTGCTGCAACTAGTATGCTGGCACTCGCAATCACCCTTTATCTAATTTGTATATATCTATAGAAAAACACAGTGGCTGCTAGGTGGTAGAGTGGTGGGCCTGGGGTCCAAAAGACTCATTTTCCTGAGTCCCAGTATGGCCTCAGATACCAGCTGTGTGACCTTGGGCAAGTCACTTATCCCTGTTTACTTCAACTTCCTCCTCTATAAAACGAGCTAGAGAAGGAAATGACAAACCACTCCAACATCTTTGCCAAGAAAACTCCAAGTTTGGTCACTAAGAGTCCAACCCCAGTGAAAACGACTGAACAACAATAAAAACAATAAAAAACATGGGTAGCAACCCATGGGGGGGAGGGGTGGTGGCAGAACAGTCAGACACGATTTAAAACCACGGAACGACAAACAGACAAACCGTCTCCCCTGCTCTTTTCCCCGCGCCTGCCTTTACGCACTTCGTGGGAGGCAGTGGCGGAAGAACATTGTTTCACTTTGGTCCCTATTGCCCCCGAGCACGGCGAGGTGCTTACTAACTGATAACAGAAAAGACACACTTGCCCTTCCTCCCAGATCGTCTGCAGTTCATCCGCTGTCTCTGTTTTTTGAGCGCAGTGGCCGGGCTTGCAGACTTCCCCACTAGAGAGTCAGTTCCCTGAGGGCAGGGATTATTATCTTTTGCTTTCTTCACCTTCCTAGCACTTTGCACGAGGCCTGGCACAAAACAGGCTTTTAGTAAGTGGTGTGTAGAGTTGACTACTTTCTATTTGAATCCCCAGCCCTTGGATCGGCGCCAGATCACAGGACCGTGGATACAGGGCTGGAAGGGGCCTTAGAAGCAGCGAGCTCAATCTCATTTTAGAGACCGACGCCCAGAGACGTTAAATAATTTGTTCGAGGTCCAACAGTAGGTGCTTAATCGCGCATTGGATCCACGTTTTTTTTAGGTGGGGGAGGGGTCACTGAAAACTTAAGTAAGATGACCCCAAGTGCACGGTCAGGATTTTAAACCCAGGTGGCCTAGACATGGAGACAGGTGCTTGTGGTGTTACTATTATTTCTATAGATGAGGAAGCCGAGGTTCAGAGAAGGCCCGGGCAGAGCTCTTCCCACACCCAGACTCTCAGGATGCCTAACAATGAGCATCATCCAGCAGAGACGGGGTGCGAAGATCCTCGCGCCCCACGAGCGCGGCTCCCCCCCCCCCCCCCGCTACCCCCCACGTTGGTGATTGTCCGGGAGGGAGCAGCGCCTGCGCCGACCGTTCTGGGGTGGGGGGTGAGGTGAGGTGTGCGAGGGGAGGGCGGGGGCACGCGGAGCCGGGAAGGCGGAGGGCAGTAACAGAGTGCCATGGCAACAGCGCGCTCTGCGGACTCTTTCCGCTCGCGGTCGCGGGTGAAGGGGAACGCAAAGGCGGCGCGTTGCGTCATCAGGACGCGCACGCGGAGCTCCTCACCGCCTTCGCCGTTGCTTTAGGTCCCCTCCCGGCTGCCGTCGCCCTTCGCCTTGGGTGTTTTAATCTCCCCATTCAGCTTTCTTTCCTCCCTCCCGAGGCTCCGAGACCCCACGTAGTGCGGTCCGAAAAGGAGGACACGGCCCCCGTGCCTCCCTCGCCCGTTTCCCGACCTCCCCGGGCCAGCCTCATGTAGGTCTTCTCGTTCCTGCCCGCTTCCTCTCGGCCGGGTTTGCGTTGCGTCAACTTCCGGGCGGGTCCCCGCCAGCCGCCGCCGGGCCTCAGCCTCTGCCGGGCCGAAGGCCCTTTGTGTCCCCGCGGCCTCTGGCGGCGCGGGGCGGGGGGAGGCCGCGCGCTCGGCGGGCCCGCCGCGGCGGGGGTTGGAGCGGGCAGCGCGGCGGCGGGAGCCCGCGGGGGCCAGAGGTGCGCCGGGGGCAGCGAGCGCGTGCTGCCGGGGAGGGTGATGAAAAGAGGTGTGCCCGTCCCCTCCCTCGCTGCCCCGGCCCCGGCGAGGCCCGGGCGCCAGGCGGCGGGCGGCGGGGGCTGGGGCGGCCCCCGCGCCCGGCCCGCATCCCCTGCCCCCTGCCCTCGGGCCTGGCGCCCATTGTCCCGCACCCCGGGGGTGGATGGCTGGGCCGCCCCGCGGGCCCCGGGTCTCACGGCCTCTCTTTGTGTGTGGTGGTGGTTTTGTTCCCCGTAGATCGTCCGGGCAGCTCCCGCAGGGTGGTCGGTAGCTTTCCATCACCATGAGCCTCTTCAACCTGGACCGGTTCCGCTTTGAGAAGAGGAATAAGATTCAGGAACAGCCCGAGCCAGCCCCCCAGCCGCCTCCTCCTCCTCCTCCTCCTCCTCCTCCACCACCTCCTCAGGTCGAGCTTCCTTCCCCCGTTTCCACCATTATTGAAGATGACGATCTCGAAGGGGGAAAAAGCAGGCCAGGAACACCAGATTCAGATATAACAGAAAAAACAGGTGAGTCACAGCGTTGCAAAATTATGTAATGTAATAATGGAAGAATGGGATGTCAAGCCCAAGAAGGTCTGCCATGTTTTACCCCTTGACCACAATCACTTCGTTGACCTTAGCTCGACACATGCTAGGTTAGGCCTTAGGACTTGTACGCGTCTCCGTGATTGTCCACCTTCACGCAGACCTCTTGACGCCATCACTGTGGGTGAAGCCCTGGTCAGGATATCTGCTAGATCAGAATAATTGCAAATGAAGGAACCGCCCATGAAACAGGGATGTTCTCGGTGTGTGTCTACTCTTTGGGTCACTTGAGTATGGTGAATTTGAGAGAGCACTGAAGATCCGATTTCGGGTCTTTTCGCCCACTTTAATTTCTAAGACTTTTTCGCCTGTAAAATGGAAATGGTAATACCGCAAGGAAAGACTTGCAGGGAAAACTTCATAGAGGAGATGACGTTTGAGCTGTCACAGACTGCAAGTCAACCTCGGCTGTGATCTAGAGAGGATAAAAAATTCAGGTCCTAGGACTGTCCTTCCTCCTAGACATTCTCTAGAATGCAGGTGAAGTATAAGGTCCCTTGTTGGATTTTCTAGGGGAAGTAAAACATTTGTATGTAAAAGAAAAAAAGTGAGTCAGAACACTGCTAAAGTATTTGATATAGATATTTCTGAAAGAATGGGAATATAAAAGCTGATGTTTTTCTTTGTTTTTTTTTTCATTGTCCTGAGAATCAACTCACACCAGGCCAGAGGGCTCTTCTGTCTAAATCTAAATGGCAGAACTGGGACCAGTGAAAGTGACAGGGAAACAGTTTTTTTTTTCCCCTTACCATAAAGAACTAGCAATTTAGAGTTGTCCGAAAAATGAGTAGGTAGTTTCTGGACATACTGTAGCAGAGACTGGATGGATAACATTCTGCTAAGGATATTGTAGAGAGATTTCTTGTTTTGGTTTGAAATGGGATGGACTCCCTTCTGATATACCTACCTCCTCACCCTTGATTCTATGATTCTCTGCTTTTGGGAGCAATACAGTTAAGAAAGGAAGAAGCTAGCGGTGGAGATTAGTTTTTTGTTGGGCTGTAGGTTGGATAGAAAGAAAAGATGAAAGTTTCTTTTATTTACAGGAAACTCAGCATTTTGGATAAAGAATAAACTTCGTATTGCACTGACCAGTAATAATGCTGTATACTTCTTCAGGACTTGTATCTTTTTCTTTTTTTAACCTATGTGTATTTGTAGCCGGTGGCACTCACTGAACCTTCTTTAGGCAACATTTAGGACTGAAGATTTTGGTTTGTTTAAATTATCCTCCTAGCCTCACTTTTCAGTAGACAGGAATAGATGATAACAGAGAGAAGAAATTCAGTAATAAGCACTTGTTATAGTTAGAGGGCAAATTATTTTAGATGTAGGATAACAGATTTAGAACTGTAAAATCTCTTATGATTCATTTACCCTAACCTTCCATTTTACAGATGAGCAAACTAAAGCCCAGGGAGGTCAAACATTTAATTAGTGCAAAACCAGGACTAGAACCCAGGTCCCGATTCAGTTATTTCTAAATGATTTATTAAGTCCCTACTCTATTTAAACAATGAGAAGGTGATGGGAACAATAAATAAGACACTGTCCAGTCGTCTTGTGGAGCCTACAGTTGAGTAGATTTAGGTCCCCCAACTCTCAGTTCCGTTGCTTTTTCCATTTATCCATTGTTACTCGACTCACTGACATAAGTAATTAGCTTGCCTCACATCCTAGCTCCTAATTGATACAGTTTTTCCTGCTCTTAAATGCTTGTCACAAATGTTTCAGCGATTTCAACTTTGCATCTTTGTGAAGGTGGGTTTCAAGGCAGCTGGTTGGCTTCATCTCTTTATTTACGACTCTTTCCCTTGCTAAAGACTGTTGCTTAGTTCTTCAGTTTTCAGTTCAACATTTATGTTTGCCGTATGTTTAAGATACTGTACTAGAATCTATGGCTAGTAATAAAAGTTTCTACCCTTCAGGATGCTTACTATCAAATGGTGTGGGTGGTTGTATCTATATTTTTTTATACCATGTTTGTATTTATATTATTAATGGTAGTCTCAGATTCCAGGAGAGAAAACTTCCAAGAACTGTTCAAGCTGCTTCACTAGAAATTTGTTAATATGGTATAACGGGAAACACTGGATTTGGAGTCAGAGGATCTAGGTTCAATCCTAGCACCTGTGTGACCTTGGTCCAGTCATTTTCCCCTGTTGGCCTTAAGTTTCCCGGTATATAAAATGAGGAGGTTGGACTAGAGAATCTCTAAGGCCTTATCCAATGCTAAATATGTCAGTATGTGTGACCTTCATGTGGTTGACAGCTAATATATGAAAGCAGATAATCTTATTTGAGTTAGAACGCTCTGTGTTCCCCTCTTTCTCATATTTTGGAACACACCTGTAAGTGGAATGTTTGCTGCTAGAGGACTTTGGGCACATATTGTGGGATAACTGGTGAAGTGACTGGCACAATGTCTGTAGTAAATGTGATAGGGGCAAGGACTGGACCTGTAATATCATTGGTATGGGGAACTTCCCAGTGAGCAAACTCCCTCCACCAGTGCAGATCAGTACCTTCTTGGTACTGAGATGTAATGGTGGATTGGCCAGTCACACAGCCAGACTATGTTAGAGACTGCACTGGGGCTTCTTGGCTTTAAATATGATGATAAGATAAAACGATGTCTTCCTTGAGGATATACTAATAATAATTCTGGCTTCTTGCTGTTTGTCATCTACTGACATCCCAGGTATTTTCTCTCATCTTTCTCTCCACACCAAGTTATTTCTTGGTGACTCCAGTTTTCTCATTCTTTTCTAACACCTTGAGGTCTCAGTTCCTTAAGTCCTCTGACTTCCATTTCTTTTCTGCTTACCTCCCATCCTAGCTCCTAATTGATAATTGATACATAGGGATGGTCATACCTAATGTCACCATCCCACTAAACTGTTCCACATCCAGGATATAGTACAGTGGAAGGAGCACTAGATCTGGAGTTGGAAGCAAGACCTCGGCTCAAATCCCGACTGCCACTTAATACCTTATCATGTTGCCATGTTCTTGCTCCTTCCACAACTTAGAATTATTGATTTCCTTTAAACTGAGCTTTATTGCCACTCTTTCTGTTTCTAATAGTGCTTTCTGTACTATCTAATTATATATATATAAAATATATAATATACACACACACTGTTTCTGTATGAGTGGAATCATATATACACATGTACACATTTTTCTTTGTATGTTTTCTCCCCCAGTAGAATGTAATTTCCTTGCAGGCAGGAACTTGGACTTTTGTTTTTGTATCACCCATGGCACAGGGGCAACTTGATAAATGCTTGTTGATTGATTTGTGTGACTTTAGGCAAATAAATGAACTTTTCTGGGTCTCAGTTTCCTCATTTGTCCTAGGCCCTCCTCCTTCTATACTACCTCACTAGTGATCTTATCAGCTCCCATGGCAGTTCACCATCTATGAAGATTGATTCCTAGATGTGTTTATTGAACCCCAATCCCTCCTGAGCTCTAGAGTCTCACACCTACAACTACCTTTTGAATATCTCAGATTCGACTTTATATGTCTAAAATAGAACCAATTCATTTTCTTCTCAAATCTCCTCCTTTCCCCAACTTTCCTACTGTTATTCAAAAAGGTACCACTGTCCTTTCAACCTCATCTTCAACTCTTTACTGCCACTCACTGCACATATCAAATCTGTTGTGAATTCTCACCATTTCTACTTTCACAACATCTTATATACATCCTTATCTTTCCCCTCCCTCAGCCCCCGCCCTTATGCATCCCTCAATACCTCACATCTAGACTATTTTTGTGCCCCTGTGCTTAGTCTCCTGGCACAAGTCTTTCCTCTACTTTTCACTGTCAAAATATTTTTCCAAAAATGAAAGTCTGACCAGTCAGTCAACAAGCATTTATTAAAAACCCTTAATATGTGCCAGAGATGTTACTCCACTACTCGGTAAACTGCAGTGGTTTGGTGTTACATCTAGCAACCAGTATAAAATCCTCTGTTTGGCATTTAAAGCCTTCACAACTTTGCTCCTTCCTCCCTTCCTAGTCTTCTTAAACTTGACGCCCCTTCACACACTAATCCAGAAATTCTGGTCCACATGCTGTTCTTCCATCTCCTGACCCCATGCGTTTTCACTAGTTATCCCTGATGAGCAGAATGCTCTTCTTCCTCCCCTCCATCTCCCAGCTTCCTTCAAGACTCAGCCCAGTTCTCACCTTCTGCAGGAGCCTTTTCCCCTTTCTCCTCCCACTTCTAGTTCTTTCCTTCTGAGATTACTTTCCATTTACCCTTTATATTTTGTCTATAGTTATTTGCATATTGTTTTCTTCCTTAGATTGGGAGCTCCTTAGGTTACCCCAGTGCTTGGGACGTAATGCTTGTTACTTATCGGAAAAATGAAAAATTTGGACTCAGTGGAAGTCCCTTCCATCTCTAAATCTATGTACCTCTGACATTCTTTTGTCTTCACTTATACCATTCACCCGCTCCATCTTACTTTTAAGCCCACTTTTTTACTTCATCATGATTTCTAGTCTCTGTTCTACCTCTCTTCTCACTTCATTCTTTTGATAGTCTTGACCATATAATCACCCATTTCAAAAGACACCTGTCTTCTTTTCTCTTTTGAAGCTCCTGCTTTCTTGTGTTTCAACCTTGGACCACCTCTAACATGCACTTTCTCTCCTATTTGCACGCTGCCAAGTGCTACTGGAGAAAGATACAGAAAATGCTGAGTGGGTTCATTATGGCTTTATCCATCTTTTCATTTATTCTTTTCTTCTTACTTGGCCATTCCAAGCTTCTCTGGAGCCAGCAACTCTACCTTCATTAACTTATCTTTGAGCAGGTGAGAAGATTGAAGCAGTTCTTCTCACTTCTTCTCTATAGCTCAAAACTTTATGTCCTTACTCAACTTCTTCTGCAACTTCTGAGGAT